AAATGGGGTTTTGTGTTTAAAAGCATTTGTTTCTTTGATTCACTGAGGTTTATTATACCATTTTTAGATGAATTTTCTTTGATTCACAAAGGTTTAATTTACCTTACTCTTAACAACCCAAAGGGTTGTTTCACCGTATTATTAAACAAACGCACAGAATCTTTATAAAGAAATCCAAGGATTATAAAAAAAACTTGTTATTAGAATTTTTTTTTGTCGCAATTGTTTCATTTTTTAGTTTTAGATAATTTATTATGTAAATAGATGAGGTTTTGTATTACCATACATAGGTTCCTTTGATTTACTTAGGTTCATTTAACTTATTCTTTAACAAACCCATATATTTCCTTAAAAAATATCTAAAAATTCTAAAAAAAATCAGTTAAAACCTGTTTTAATGTGAAAATTGTCATATTATTTAAATTTAGATAGATTATTATATGGAAAAGGGTGTTTGTCGGAAAAAACATAGGTTCCATTAAGTTACTTAAGTTTTTTTTTTTCCTTTTTTTTTTATAAACTTATAAATTCTCTATAAACCTACAGTAAGAATCCAAATCAAATCAGTGAAAACCTGTTTTTTTAAAGCATATTTTGAATTTAGATAAGTTATAATATAGAAATAAAGGTTTTGTTGTAAAAAACTATTGTTTCTCTATTTCACTCAGGTTTAATTTACCTTCAAAAAACTCACAAACTCTTTAAACATTTATCAAAAGATTTTAAAAGAAATTAGTAGTAAAATGTTTTTTGTCGCAAGTGTCTTTTTTTTTAGTTTTAAGTAAGTTATTATATAGAAAAAAGGATTTTGTTGTAAAAGACATAGTTTAAATTGATTCACTCAAAATTTTTATACTTTTTGATTCAACAAACCCACAGAAGTTTTCAAAATATATTTAAATATTCCAAAAGAAGTCAGTGGAAACCAGTTTTTTTAATGCAATTGTCTTTTTTCTCATTTTCAGTTAAGTTATTTTATAGGCAGAGGGGTTTTGTGGTTAAAAAACATAGAATCCTTTAGTTTATCCATGTTTATTTTACCTTATTTTTTAACCAAAATGACAGAGTCTTTAAAAATAAATCTAAAGAATTCAAAAGAAATCATTGGAAAGCTGTATTTTTGACGCAATTGTCTAAAATTTAAATCATTGGAAAACTATAATATAGAAAAAAGAATTTATCGTAAAAAACATAGGTTCTTTTGATTCTCTCAGTTTAGACCATAGTTTCAGTTTTATGATATCATAGTCTTAAACAAACCCACAAAATCTCTAAAGGTATATCAAGAGATTTCAAAAGAAAAAAGTGACTACCTGTTTTGTTGATGCAATTGTCTTTCTTTTATTATTTTTAGATAAGTTTTTATATAGAAAATATAGTTATGTCGTAGAAATTAGAGGTTCTTTTGAGTCACTCAAGCGAAATTTTTCTCATCCTTTAACAAACCCACAGAATCTCTAAAAATATGTCAAAAGATTCCAAAAGAAATCTGTGTAAATCCGGTTTTTTTAATGTTTTTTAGAGAAATAATGAACTTCGTAGAAAAATTTTTTAAAGATTAGCTGGGTTGCTTTTCTTCTTATTGATCTATTACTCATCAAATTAACATAATCACTAAAAAGATATTAAAAGATTCTAAAAGAAATCAATGGAAACCTTTTTTTTGACGCAAATGTTTTACTTTTTAATTTAAGATAAATTATTATATAAAAAGAGGTTTTGTCGTAGAATTTATAGGTTCCTTTGAGTCATTAAGGTTATTATTACCTTATTCTTTAATAAACCGACAGAAACTTTGAAATATTTCGAAAGATTCCAAAAGAAATCAGTAAAAATTGTTTATTTGACGATATTTTCTTATTTGTTAACTTTAGATAAGTTTTTATATAGAAAAAATGATTTTTTTGTAAAAAACAAAGATTGCTTTGATTCAATTAGATTTAAGTTACCTTATTCTTTAACAAACCCACAAAGTCTTTAAAATATATTAAAAGAATTCACTAAAATACTAGAAAAGTCTATTTTTTTAATTTTTTTAATTGAAATATTGATTGTTGTTAAAAGTTTTAATGAGTAATAAGAGTTCTTTTAATTAAAAACATAAAATAAGCTGATTTACTTTCCTTACTATTGACCTATTCTTTGTTAAATCAACAGAATCTATTAAATTATATTAAAAGATTCTAAAAGTAAACAATAGAAACCTGTTTTTTTGTCGCAGTTGTCTAATTTTTTAGTTTTAACTAAGTTATTGTATAAATAGAGGGTTGTTGTCGTAAAATACATAAGTTCCTTTGATTCACTCAGGTTTATTTTACCTTATTCTTTAACAAACCAACAGAAATCTCGAAACTAATTTTTTTTAAATCTGTTGATTTATTTTTAGAGACTTTATTTACACAATTGTCTTATTTTTAGATTTAGATTAGTTATTATATACAAAAATGGGTTTTGTCGTAAAAAACATAGGTTTTTTTGATTTACTCAGGTTAAGTTTACC